GGTCCACCATATCACGTGGAACGCATGGTGTGCAACCAAAGCGGCGGACGCGAGCGTGATAATCCGCCAGCTGAACCATATCATTTCTCATACTTTATTAAATATCTAAACATTTTCTAAATTATATGAAAATTTATTTGAATACATAAACACTTTCAAAAATCATGTTAATATGTTTATGAAATATGTGAACACTTTTAAAATTACACAAACATTTTTATAATTCTTAAATATTATTTTTACTATATATGAATACTTTTAAAAATAATATATTTTTACTATATATGAATACTTTTAAAAATAATATGCATCACATCAACATTTTTTAAAGTAAGGTATTTTTGTATGTATATTATTTACAAACAAATATTCTAACTCTATTTTTATTACTATAATTATAATTTACATAATTTTTGCAATTTTGTAAAGAAGGAAAAAGACTAACATATGGAAAATGAGTTGCATTGACTACAACCCATTTAAGCCCCACGAGTGTGTATGGTTATAAGACATTAAGTCTAGCTATCCTTAGTACTCCATCCATTTTTAAATATAAGTCTTTTTAGAGATTTCAATACGGACTACATACGAAGGTATATAGACATAGTTTAGAATGTAGAGTCACTCATTTTGCTCCATATGTAGTCCACATTGAAAAATCCAAAAAGACTTATATTTAGGAACGGAGGGAGCAAAAATCAAATCGATTGTAATTGAATGGAGTGGCTAGCATGGCTGGCAAGATAGCATGAGGCTACGAGTTCGAACCCTAGTGGCCATCATTTTTATATATTCTCTCTGGTCCATTTTTGTTAGCGTCCCAGGCCCAGCTCCCAACCTCCAGCATATGTTTGGACGTTTTCGGTGTGCATCGGACACACCAGTACAAGCAAAGAGCCCACTACATCCCAAAAGACTAGCCTGAAGGGAGTGTGGCACTCCTTATAAGGTGGTCCTAGCCCCCTCCCATATCCGAGGTGGGACTAAAGTCACTGGCAACGCCCAATGGCCAGCGTCTCTGACACCTCACCCCTCTAAACAGGGCGGACTGGGGCCCAGCTCTGATACCAATTGTTAGCGTCCCAGGCCCAGCTCCCAACCTCCAGCATATGTTCGAACATTTCCGGTGCGCATCGGACACACCAGTACAAGCAAAGAGCCCACTACATCTCAAAAGACTAGCCTGAAGGGAGTGTGGCACTCCTTCTTATAAGGTGGTCCTAGCCCCCTCCCATATCCGAGGTGGGACTAAAGTCACTGGCAACGCCCAATGGCCAGCGTCTCTGACAATTTTACTATGCATATAAGATTTATGTCAAGTCAAACTTTGCAACATTTGACAAAATTTATATTAGAAAATATAAACATCTACAACAGTAAATATATATATAATATGAAATTACATTCCATAACGAATCAGATGATATCGATTTGGTATTGTGAATATTGATAATTTTTCCTATAAGGCTGGTCAAATTAGAAATACTTTAACTTCTAGCAAACCTTATATGCAAACTAAAAAAACCGACAGGAGCATGTTCAACACGGTTGTCTGGTGTGAGCTAATTAAACGGGATCCTTCACATGCTAGATGAGAGGTGCTTCGCACGTTGCATAGATTGTGGGCTGGATATATAATGCAAAGAGGCTAAAAAGTTGTGATGTTGCTTGGGAATATGGAATGGAAGGGGTGCGTGATCGCTTGGCATGTGTGCACTGCGTGCAGTAGTGCAAGAGAAGCTATGAAAGTAGTCTTTGAGGTGTGAACCAACATGTGGTTAAATTTGAATGGTCATAAGAATAGTGATATTCTCAGCCCACCGAGATTTAAGTCCTAAACTTGAAGGTTTAAGTTCTAAATTTGATATTGACGCTCGCATTTTTCTGAATTTATTTTAGATTTTTCGGCAATGTTCACTCCCTGGGAGAAGACGTTTTTGTCGACTACGAGATGCATGTGGTAACTTCATCAATCTCAAGATACTATGTCAAAGGAACAACGTGCAACGTCGCATGCATGTTGTGGCGTTGGTGAGACCATAGAAACAAAATAAATTGTGGCGAGAGCCAACAAATCTCTGCTGTTGTGTGTAGTGCATGCTTGGAGGCTTTACCTGCTCCTTATTATTGGGATACGATGAAAGTGAAAATGTGAAAGGAACCATCTACAGAGATATCTGAATGTTTTCTCGATTGAATTTTAAAGTTGGAAAACAGTGCGCAAAGGCATCAGGAAATTTGGAAGACAGTGTGCAAAAGCTAGCAATATACGTAACTTTTTTTTTCAAATCAGTTCGGATGATCTTGATACATTAAAATAAAATAAGAAGAGATTTTCTCGGGGGTTTTTTAACATCAGTACAAACACAAGCGTTCATATACACGCGCATACACTCACCTCTATAAACACACACACGCATATCCTACCCCTATGAACACCTCCGAAAGACTGAGCCGGCATATCATCTTGAGATTTACGAAGTCACCGTAGACACCTCGTCGTCGACGGAAACGTCTCCTCCCACTGAATGTGCATCACCAAAAATCCTTAAATAAATACAGGAATAAATGCAAGCACCAAGATTTGAACCCTGATGGGTTTGGGATATCACAGTCCCTCTAACCATCCAACCACAGATTGGTTCATGATTTTCTCGGCTAAGATATAGAAAACCGGACCAAGTTTAGGCAATATTTGTTTCTTGATGCGCAAACTAATTTTACAGATCAAGTTTTTACATGGAGACAGGTATATTGTGTGCTAAGTCACTCGTCTTTTCGGTGGAAGACGAACAAAACAAATCGACAATCAGTTACGAAAAAATGGAAAATATGTAAATGTAAGACCGAAACCGCCATGTTTTAAATCCTTCCCTGTCAACACAAGATAACTAAATTCTATTTTATTTCTTGGTGCACAAATTGAATTTAGAGATCAAGTTTTTACATGCACAGATATATCTGGTTCCAAGTGACACATCTTTTGGGTGGAAGACTAACCAAACAAATTGAAAATCAGCTTAAAAATGGAATATATCTTTTGGATGGAAGATTAACCAAACTTGAAAAACGGAACGTTTGTAAATGCCAAAGGCCATGTTTTCCTTGCCATCCAAAATGCCAAGTGGATGACAAAACAAAATGCATGGATGACAAAATAAAACAAATGCACCAGCCGGGAATCAAACCCAGGTCTGTACCGTGGCAGGGTACTATTCTACCACTAGACCACTGGTGCTTCTTGTTTGCCTTTCCTACAACAAATTATATGTAGTATCATTTATATGCCTATTATCTATCTAGTCAAGGGGTTGCACTAGAAGTTAGCAGAGGGCTATGGGAAATTGGGAATACCGAACAACTATCGGGAAGACCAAACTCATGGTTTTCACCCAAAGAGTCTGGAAGTACACCCAGAAGTTTTCAAAATGCAATTTTGATCGCCACTTGTACCACTTTTCACATAAGATCATCTGCTTTTCTGGCCAGCGAAATACAACATTATAAACTCAAAGAAAATATGAATTATTTATCTTGTTAAAGAAGTACAGCAAAAATCCCTTGCCAGCTTGTAGAAGACGACCGCGGGAAATACTACTAGCGGTTCAATATTTCAATTTACAACAACCTTCATGCATGCTCAACAAGTCGGAGTCTTCCCCATCCCCCTTCTACACTCTGCCCCAGGCAACGATCACCCTTCCCGTGGGTGTTGGATGCATGGGGTTGGCAATGGTAAGGCTCCTTGAGGCCTTGTTTGCTTGCTAGTGATGTAATCCACTTGTGGTTCGGTGTTTTATATATAAAGTGGGGCGAATTTTTTTTTCGATAATCCATCAGTGAAATTAATTCATCTAGAGGTGTTGCCCCTCTAGACGTTAAGGTTTTTACAATCCGGTTTTTTATTATAACTAGTAAATGCGTACATACAATGCACGTTGATATTAGGAAGAAAATTAATTACACATTGGTATTAGATAGGATATGACTTACGCGTTAATTATGTGATTACTATGGAGGTTTGTATTTTGTGTGATATTAATTCTACGCTAAACATGTTAAGTGCTCACCATTTGAGCAATTTACGTCGTTGGATTGATATGATTTGATTGATGGCCGAGATTACTTGGATCTGCCTCTTTGTCTTTTTTATATTAATAAAAAATTGGCAGAGATAATTGGATCAATCATTTTTTGTAATGACATCATGTTCAACCCCGTTGTTGTTTCCAAAAAGAAAATCAACAACAGTCAAAACTTGCAAGGACCATCCCATGGTTCCACCTGTAGATTAGTCGAAGACATTATATTCCTAAGGTATCAACATGTGTACATCGACTTTCTTCCTATGTTGATGAGACGATCCATATTTCAACCCAGAAACTACAACTTTTCACTTATAAATAAGTAAGGGTCTGTTTAGGACACATCTAGAACTGATTTTCACTCTGTTTGTGGTCTATTTTTTTTGTCCTAGTTTTTTTTGTTTCTTGTTGATGCATTATATACTTGTAGGAGGTTAGATGTGACATCTTTAAAAAACATCTAGATGTGAATTAGACAAACTGAATAAGTAAATAACTCAGGCTTTCAACCTCAACACTACGAACTTCCAACCCAGTCAGTCTAATAAACCGACACATACAAAGCTTTCAGCTAGTTTTTTCATTCACATGTTCCACTAGTTCGAAGTTGCTGCTCTTGTGGACAAAGTTGATGCAGAAGTCACTGGGAAATAATAGTATCATGCAACTCTGCATCCAATCGAAGAGCGAAAGTGATAATATTATAATTTTCAAAGAGATAGGCAATGTGTTCTCGTTTGTTTGGTTTTTGAACTTCAGTGTGTTCTCGTTAATCTCGCAATGGTATTACGACATCATCTCTGACAAGCATCTCATGCACTGCGGAACTACATGCCAGTAGTTAAATATCAAGTATTCGTAACACAGATACAGAAAATGGTGAACACGGAAAATATTGATTATTAAGTAGATCCATCAGAACAAAATGCACCGAGGGCATTGGCAGAACACCCAAGGGCAACCCTCCGATACGATATGTACCACTACCAACAGAAAAATGCATCCAAAGATGCAGCTGAGTAAGTTGTGCTAAAAGGAAAAGCACGAAAACTAAAACTGCATTGGCTAACTAGTAATCTCACATTTGCAAACAGGGCACAGTTTCTTTCTTCTCAGCCATTCGTCGATGCACTGCAAGGTGAAAGCAATTTCACATCAGAAATGCAAACACATTACATAACAAAGGACAAGGGTTATTGCACCTGACAGCAAGACTGCATACCTCTTTGTGGAACTTGTGAAAGCATGGCAAAGTGCGGATGGTATCTCCGAAAGATGGATTTTCAAGGCAGACTGTGCAAGGCTCTTCGGTGCTAGTTGACTGTAAAAGAAAAAGGACTAGTCAACAGGACTTCTTACGGAGAAGCCATAAAACAGATGCCACTATGTAAGTACTGACCGACTAATTTACCTGAAATACTGACTGAGGCAAGTTATTGATCTGACTTTCCGACGCACCAGTATGCTGGTGGTTATTTTCATCTAACGCAAGTAGCGCATCATAATCATTTCTGCAACAGAAGCTCCTTTAGTAAGTGTTCAACATTTGTACAACTTATTTATTTACCATCAGCAGATTGTATCAACTTTATGTTACCCTATCCACTACGTAGAGAACCCAGAAGAGTAAATCAAAGATACATTCAAGTCGGAAAACAGTTTATCTTTTAGAAGACTGTAATCACATAAATATGACCCAGCTACACAATACAGTGAAGCTGCTATACCATGATGCAACGCTACATGTAAAACAATCAGCAAATAGCTAACTGAATCAAAATATGTAAGTTGTTTCAAGTTCTCAAAATACTCAGCCAACTTCACTCGAGCAGTGGAAATAGAACAGGGAGGCGCCACTTACAAATCGATATTAGGTTGAATATGCGCAGCACGATATCCGGCACGAAAAGCCCTCTGAAAAATTGACACTAGAAGCTGTTAATGATCTTCGAGAATCGATTCAGGCAATCACAAACTGTAAACTCAAGGAAGGTTTTACTTGATGCGAGAGTATACTACACATTTTAGATTACTTTAAACAGCTGCTCAACATATATACAACCCATTGCTTACAAAAACAAATTTGTGACACAAAAAGGACACCCTCTCTGATAAGGAGAAGGAAAGTCATGTTCTGAGGTGGTTCAGTACTCCAAGGAGATGAAACGCAACCAATTTGGTAAATCGTGAAAATTCAAAGCATGGAGATTAGAAAGTTCACATGGAAGTCACATACAGCTCATCACAGGAAATCAGTGTCAAAAAGTTTTTCACCGTGATAGGAATGTTCTGTTCGTAGTAGGAAGGCATATAACTTCGTTATATAGTTAATACAAACTAAAAGTACACACAAGCTGTCTTGACTTAATTTCATGCCATTCGGTATATACTTACAATAACTTAGGCAGTAAGATTGAGTTAAATGTGAATGACATCGAAGCAGAAAGATATGGCAGTCTTATCTTTTAAACCTAAAAATCTTCCTTGAAAGTAGTTATAGGATTTAAAAGGTAGAGGAACTACAAGGGCAGGAGAGAAGCAATACCAAACCCAAAGTTACTGGAGCTGCATTCTGTATATGGGAAATTCCCGTCTCATATCTGGCCCTAATACCACGCTGAGAAGCACTTAAACGCGATGCCCGTGCAGCTCTCTAGCCAAAAAAGGATAAGAAGATAAAATATGTCAATCTCCACACATGCAAGGTATTTAGTCATAATGAATATTCACTATATATGGGAACATCCTTCGAAGTAAACAAGGTTGTTTGACCTGTTATGAATAGCATGAATATTCACTTAAGCATAGTCAACCTAACAAATGCTTACCAGCATCGTTCTGATTTTTAGCATGAATGGTCACTTAAGCATAGCCAAACTAACAAATGCTTATCAGCATAGTTCTGATTTTAATGGGCGTAGCAATTGAGAAGCCGGGAAATTGCTGCTAGCAAAGCTAACGAAGGAACTGCGAATGTGCAAGCTAGGTTTGGAGCAACATAAAGGGAATGCATCAAAAAGAGGCATAGTGATTTTAGTTTAAATAAAAATATCAAAGATATCAACTAACTTCCAAAAAACCAACAACGAGACAGGTGTTCTTACGGTATCGTTGGGAAGCCACCTTGCAGGTGCTCTTACAGCTCGAGATGTCCGTTCTGCATCTTCTTCATGTTGAAGTGACATTGCTACGATTGCATCAATCTGCTTTATGAAAAACAATTATCTCACTGAAGAACTAGTAGAACCTCCAAGAAGTTGAGAAAAATACACACGCACAACACAAATACAAGGTGCGGAAGAGATGATCAAGAATTACCTCTTCTCTAGGAGCAGCACGAGGTGTTTCATTGTAAAGCTGCTCCTGAAGTTGCCGAGCCAACAATTCATCAGCCTCCAACTGTGCACTTACGTTAGGATCAATCGAGGTTCTATTACTGCGGCCACTCAGACTAGATCGAGCTTCAGGGGAAGATATGTCATCAATATCTATTACAGAAATATTATGACGACGAGTGGTACGATTTCTGCCAGCTGTTGTGTCTGAAGATGCAAGACATGAACTACCAAGTTCATTAACAGAACTAGAGCTTTCACCAGGATGATAGGAACTTGTGGCGTGTTTCCTCTTTCCTTTACTGATCCTTATTGTCCTATTCCTCAAACTTGCAGACCGTGCAGCGGCTGCTGCACCAAATGAGTTATTGCTGTCTTCTGCTGCGGTTTCATGACCCTGATTAGATGGTCCAGAAGATCCAGATTCCATTCCAGAAGTACTGGTCGTCTTACACAACAATGACACGGGTAACTTAATAGTATGATTATGTGTTGTTCTCCAACCTTGCTGAGAAATGCCAGTACTGTCGTCATTTACAAAAGAAGAACCTACTGGGGCCCTTGGACAAACCCTGCAACAGAGGGTGAATAAGATTCTAGATACGTGACAGATGTCTAAATAGTATAAAATATGAATTAAGCATGCTTCCATTTACTGAACAAAGTAGATTCACTTTTTTTAGCTTCTACAAATTCAGTTGTGTTTTAAACACTACATTGATGTGCATGCACTAAAAACTTTATGAACTCCGATTCAATTTCAACCAACACACATTAAAATCCGGGATTGACCTATTGCAATGTTCGGAGAACAAACAATTCTTCAATACGTTGTACTCGTCTAGTACACAGAGAGATAGGGCATACCTCATCGTATCAGCCTCTCCAGCCTGCTCAATTCCCATAACATGATGGATGATTTCTTTGCCCTTGTTCTTTAAACCTTCAGAACAGTTACTGCTGCTTGCTTGATTTGCACCCTGTGGAATTAGAGTCCCCCCAGCACTGGCTGTTCTGAACTTCTCGGATGCAGTTGTTTCCATATAGTTTACAGAGGCTCCATTCTTTGTTATTGTTGGTGACTTATCAGTAAGATCAATTATAGTTCCTGTATGAAAAACATCATCCCGAGGATTTCGATAGTGTAATACCCCACTTGTAGAGCACATTTCCCGCTTTTCATCAGCAATTACACTTGTTTTGACTACGTTAGAGGGAGAAATACAACCATTTCGCACCAGCTTTCTCCGAACCACTTGTCTTTGAGGAACATCGCATGGTGTACTTGAGAGTCCTGCTGTACCCGGGATATTGATCGCTTCTCTTCTTTCCTCCCTGGGACCCGATGCTGGAAAAACATCAGAACCTACTACTTCCTTTAGCCCATTAGAGGTGCTAATTTTTGCTCTGTTTCGCGGGTTTCCCACCGTGGTAGTAGGAAGAGCTGACCCCACACCAAGAAAGTCCACATGCCGACGGCTTGTGTCTCGATGACCAACCTGCCCTTCTCTGGTTTGGCAGCTACTGCCCCTTACTCCATCACTGCTACAAATCATGTGATTTGAAATGCTGCTGCTCTGATCCAAATCATGACTGTGAGCCCCATTCCCGTTCACAACAGATTTCCCAGTAGTCCTATCTAACTTTGGTGGGGACAATTTCCGAGCCAATTCAGCTTGTTTAAAAATATTGTCAGTGTCTAATGGTGCAGTAAGTTCACTAACTGCATCACCTCTACTTGATTGACCTTGGGTTGAAATATTCTTGATCTTAAATTTGAGTCTCCGGGCTGGTGAAGGATTTCCAGCCATCCTTGTTACACCTCTCGTAGCAGCTGAGCTTGATACAGCGCACACTGACTGCTGTACTCGGTCAGGAGTGTCAGGAACCTCAAAAATGTGATCAGTGTTCATGTCAACCATATTATCCCGCCACTTATTTCAGTTGCAGATAAGTTTGCCCCCCCTTAACTTTTACATGTAAAAACACGATCACAGAAGTTTCTCCAACACTATCTGCAACATGCAGAGAAATGTTACAAAAAGAGCATAACTACTGCATGTCCTCATTACAAGATGATCTTCAGGAAAAAAAATTATAAGTAGCAATCGAAGGTGAGAAAGCTAGCTAAATTTTTATGTAGGAAGAACAGCTGCTGTGTGACAGAAAAATACTAGAAAAGGTAAACTAACTCCATGGTGATGGCAGAGAGGACACCCTGGCAATGGCTGGTGATTTGGCAGGTGGTGGTGGTTACTGGGGATAGGTTATTGAGCAGGGAGGAGAATGGTACAGAGGCATCAAGGAACGGATGATATTACTGAAGATCAGGGAGGTCAGGGCAGAGAGACCAGCAGGTGTCACCGCAGTCATGGACAGTGGCAGTGGGCACCATGGGAAGTGTGTAGGCCGGTGGCTGGGGTCAGGATCTAGTTTGACGGGATAAGGAAGGAATTAACTGAAAGTATAGATAGAGTTGGGGGTCAACAATGGTTGGATTGGATTCAACAGTTACAACATATCACAGTGGATTTACTGGAAACAGACACACCGAGCTAGAAAATATATTGCCAATGAAAGAACGGGTAATAGAAGCAAGCAACAGATGAATACTCTATATGCTAGCCATCACATAACAACATAAGACCATCAGGTTAAACGAATTTAACAGCAATTTGCATGGACCACTGAGCATATCAACCACCTGCCATCTTCCCCCAGAATGAAGTGTTAATACTTTCTATCTGCTATCAAAGTTGCGGCTTAACTGAGACAATTCAAAAGAGTACACATGATCTTGCAGTAAATGAAAATCTAATGATAAGATGCCCTGTACTCGCAAGGAAATCGGCCCCCCATGATCCGCCAGTTCCAGGGCCGGATCTAGATGGCGTGCACCGGCAGACCCCAAAATTTCTCGATGTGCCAGTGGGGATTTTAACTAATTTACTAATCAAGGATGAAAGGGGGGTCATACCTCAGCAACCGAACGGCCAAAATTGCGGACGGGGTCGAGACACCAGGGACGCGATGGGTTGAACGGGAACGGGAACGGCGACGGCGGCGACGCGCGTGAGAGGCGGAGGGGTTTGCGCGGGGTGGGGCGGGGCGGCGCCGGTGTGACGGATTGGTAGCCGCGGACGCTGAGGGCGCGGCGGCAACTCTATGGAGTCTACAGCCGCCTCGGGTCGGATTGGGGGCGGCGACGCGTCAGGACTCCGTTGGAGGGGGGGAGGAATAGGACACCGGTATGCTATATGGGACGGCGGAGAGCAATCCGTGGAGATGTGGATTTTGAATCCGGATCGTGGGCGCACTTTTGATTATATAAGTAATAGTAATAATTAATAAAATCAAACTAGAGGCGTGTTTCTTTCTTTTTTTTGGCAAGGCTATTAATTAGATTTTTTTCTGACTATATTTGATTTTAACTTGAGCCCGCAATTTAAATGTCAGATCTAGACCGTTCGTTCGATCAACCTCATTTAATAAAATCAAACTAGAGGCGTCAACTGAAAGCAGGCATCCACCCTTGTTTAAATGTCAGATCTAGACCGTTCGTTCGATCAACCTCATTTAATAAAATCAAACTAGAGGCGTCAATCTACCACTGTTTAAATGTTAGATCTAGACCGTTCGTTCGATCAACCTCATTTAAATGTCGTTCGGTCAATGCAATGTTGGACTCTCTAACCTGCATTTTTTTTCTTAAAATGAAGGCAAAAGGATTACATCATCCGTTAATTAATGGAAAACGATTCAGATCAGACGGCCGATCCAGCGCGAGCATCCGCCGCCTCTCCCGTGCGATGTGCGTGTTGCGTGGGACCCATCCAGCATTATCTGTATGGAGTAGTTCCCTTCATCTTTATCTCACCCACACCAACTGCTCAACCTTTTCCTTTCTTCCATGGCGTTTTGTCTCTCTCAAGTCTTCTCTCAATCTCCTACCCAAATCTCCTACTAGATGATGTTGTTTTTTGCAGCCAGTGCGTGGTTCAGGGAACTGCGACTGCATGCAAGACCTCGTCCATGCCGCCCCTGACCATCACCAGCCGTGCGAATAGCGACGGTGTTGTCAGCAACGGTGGCAGTGTTTCTGAAACATCATCTTTGTTGCAATTTTTTCTGCAATATCCTGTGTGTTGCAAAAGCTCCTTCAATAACATGGCAAAAGAATTCTGCAACAAAATCTCTGGTGCGAAAAAAAATCTGCAACAAGGCTTGTGTTGCAATAATGGAGGACGTTGCTAGTTGCAAAAAATAAAATCTGCAACAAGATCTCGGTTGCAAAAAAATTCCGCAACAAGGCTTGTGTTGCAATAATGGAGGGTGTAAAAAAATGTGCAACAAGGCATGCGTTGCAATAATGGAGGGCGATGCTGGTTGCAAAATATTTCCGCAACAAGGCTTGTGTTGCAATAATGGAGAGTGTCGCTGGCCACTCGATGCACCAGATCTGATGGCTGGCGACCCGGCCGATCTTTTAAAACGATCCGCCGGCTGACGCGTAGCTGCCCCCTTAATTAATACATATAAAGAGAGTTGTCCAATTATTCGGCATGAGCGGTTAACTATCTCAAAAACGGTCAACAATAAAAAGAAGGAAGTTGTTCAGTTAATTAACAGAAAAATGAGCAAAATAATCACAACCCGTTGAGCGGCACATACGAAATACCCCACACACGCTACAACGAATAAAAGGTTTGCTTCTCTCCAAGCACACTTCGTCATCACTTCTCTCCGAGCAAGTGAATCCAACTTCATCGCGAACGACCACGGACCTAGCCGACACCATAGAGGATGTGCAAAGCCACGTAAAGATCTATGCCAATCAATCGGTCACCCGCAACGGGACAACACAACTTCGAATATGGCGGGGAGCTAAAAAGGAGACCTATGCAAGGCTAGACACGAAAGATAGTTGAACAGGCCACCTCCCGCCCTGACCCCGTCGTTGCAACTCCGACTTCAAAACGATAATCAGGCCAAGGCAAACGCGCAAACATGCGATAGAAGAAACAACTACCGTAACCATTACCGCTATTCGAACTTCTCTCACCTCATCGTCTTGGCACATATGCCCCAACACCATCACCATTGTTGTTATATGACAATGCCCATTTGAGGAAAGTTCTGCACCACAGATTGAGATGTTGCACATGAGGACGGTTTACCTAGGTTTAGACCCTCGGGTCGAGGTAATACCCTGATTCATGCATGTATATATTGATGATCTGTCTCGCATGAGAACTAGGGTTTGTGTCTACAAGGGATTGATCGCAGGATGGTATAGGGGATAGGGGTTGAAGCCTCATGTGTGCACTGGAATAATGTGAAGAAATATAAGATACCGCTGAGGAGGCCCCTACCTCCCCTTACATAGGTGGACGAGGGGTAGCGTTACAAGAGTCCTGGTCCGTTTACAAGGTAGAGTCCTAATTAGTTTGCAACTAGTCTCTGGCAGAGTCCCTGCTTTGTGCCCACGGTGGCGATGCCCCTTGTATTACCGAAGGAGTTCGAGGAGTGGACTTCGCCCACCCTGCGGTTGTTGGGTCTCTTCTGTCCTACGTACCTATACTTGGGGTCAAGGGACCATCAAACGTCGTCCTCCACTAGTCGCCTCCTTGACCATCGTGATGACCTCCACCATCCTCACACAACCACTAGTCCTTCCAGCTAGTCACAACTCCAAGAACGATACACAGGGGGGTCATGGTATCGGATGGTGCCATCGTCCGATCATGAGTAGATCTAGGGTTTCCCTAGAGTGATCTAAACAGAGAGCGGGCTTTGCGTCATGACGACATCTCGAAAAGAAAGTGATGTCTATGGGACCATGAAACTGGTCGGACCACTGACCCCCTTGCATCCTCTCTAACCACCACAGAGTGCCACCACACCGCAGGTTGCTACAACCCACACATCATTGTAGATCGTCGTTGTTGCCGATCATCCAAGGCGTTGCTCGTCACAGAACGGGTAGCAAGACCAAGGTTCATATCTGCCGCCGCGAGGCCCATCCCGTTGCTTGCTCCCGCAGGAGTAGTTGGTATTCCCCCAAGTGTAAGGGTGAAGTAGCCCAACGTCTAGTATTTTCCTCAGTTAGAGGACCAAGGTAATCAATCTAGTAGGAGCTCTCCCATCGAACAAAGTAAGCAGTACCTGCACACAAAACACAGAATAAACTTGTCCCCAACACGGCAAGAGGGTTGTCAAAGCCCCTTGTCTTGCTAGTCACAAGATTAAACACAATATACAGAGATAATTGGTAGCAAAAATAAATAGGGCATCAAGGAAAATGTTTGTTTTCGGTAAAGGAGAATAGACCCGGGGCCATAGGTTCACTAGTGACATCGATCTCTCTCAAACAAGCAAGTGGCATGGAAGCGATTATATTGCAATATTTATATTTATGACTATGATTATTCATGGTATAATCTTATATAGACATTACATCCGTGATGATTAGACCATTGATCCAACTGCATCTACTACTAATGCTCCACTCAAAGACCATTATCCATCATGCATCCCGAAGTATTAAGGGACTGTTTGGATTGTGTCTATCATTGCCATATATTGCTACATGATTTTTGCCACACTTGCCTTAGTTGAGTTGCTTAAATTGTTAGCCACACTTTGGCTTGCATAAGGGAATCTTGCCACACTTTTTATGTCTGTGACATGTGGGGTTCACTGCTCATAAAAAATTCTTGCCTTAGGTGTGGCTAGAACCAAACACCTACCTAACTTTGTCAAACGTGCCTAAGGTTAGGTGTGTCAAAGTGTGGCAAGGTGTGACTAGAAACCAAACTGTCGGAGTTCTAGGAACGGGGGTCCACAGACTTGCCTGCCTGCGGCCTGCGGCGTGGCTCAAGCGGGGCCCAGCGGGGCCCATCTTCATCAGCTCAAGTTCAAA